CCAGTTATTTCTAATTCTATTGTCACTGAAGTTACATTATTTAGTTTTAGTTGTACTTTAAACCTTTTTGAGTCCAGTGCTCACTGTTGGAAATAAGGTTTTTAGAGGTGTTTAACAAACGCCGCTATAGCTATCAAAAACGTCACCAATTCTTTTTGCGACGCTTAATACTAAATGTTGAAGATGCGGCCGTCGCTGTATCTTTATGCCTTTTTAGAAACGTCATTATATTAGTATAGGCGGCGTTTTGAAAAACGCCGTTAAATGTGTTAAATGACGTGAACTTTGATAGTGGAGGAGAGGAAAAGAGAAGAAAATTGTGCATGCACTTCACCTAACACCAAGTAAGCCATAACACAACTCTCTCATTTATTTTCCTTTTTTCAAATACATGTCATTAGAGTCTTGAAACTATATTTTCAGAATTGTTGTAATGGTGTTCATGTGTTCGATGTTGATGAATTGGGCTTTAATCCTTTTTCTATTCATATTTCCTCTTAATCGATGCAAAACCACCTTTTTCTTTCCATATCTCCCATTATTTCCAAAGTCATACCATCACTCTAAAAATTTGAGTTATTGATATATTATTTAGTAGGTTTTCATCACAAAAGAAGCGGAAAATTTCCCTTAGTTGGCCTCTTTTCTCACCAAACTTCTTATTTTAAGTATTGTGCATAAAAACCCTATTTTACAGCCAAATTTTGAAAATTCTATTAAAATGTAGAAAAATCTCTCGGACTTTTAGTTCATTTCAAAAGCTTCCTTAAAGAGTTATCTTTCAAGAAAAATTGGTTTCCTTGAAAAATAGTGAGCAGTTTGTGAGAAAATCTGATTTTCGTAATGGTGGACGAATTTGGATAGTTCTGGAGTGTTTATTAAATAACTAAAAATCTAGAAAAGATATTTTGTTTCCGAAACATGTTCTGAAAACTAGATTAAATTCTCTACAAACCATAGGAATGCTAAATTTGAGAAAAATCTGAAATAGCCCTTTTGAGTATAATCTTTAAGTAGTACTGAATTTGGAAATTCTGTTTTCATTGGTATTTTATGCTCGTCTTCATGAATGGGCTTATTAACATATGGTCATGTCTTGGTATGAGATTACATATGTAATGGTTATGTACCTTTTATTTTAGTCCTTTGATGGTGCTCACACTTATGAAAATGTAGAAATTTATATTCTTGTGCGAAAATATTTTCTTAACTACTTGAATATGCCTAAAGCTACTTGTGCCTATCTTGATATGTGAATCTCATGTGTTGTAACTTTATTTCCTTCCATTTGTGCTATGTAGTTGTTCATAATTGTGCAATAGATGTTGTTTCAAGAGCATGTGCTAACTCTGACTTAAATTATCTAACTGAAACGGGAAACTTAATGGGTGGCAATGGGTTTGCGAATTTTTGGACAAGTTACTAAGATATTGATTAGTTGACGGGATGCATTCCCAATTTGGAAGTTAAAGTCTTGTGCAAATAGTTTTTGAAACCCTTGAACGGAGCAGTTGTATTCGAACCCTAGGTATTTTGGTGTAAGGAGGGATTTGGGCAAGGCCTATTATTACCGTTTCTTTTGAGGCCCTGAAGTTGGCGCTATGTGTTATATAACCGTTGGTAAGCATTCGAGGCAAGTTTTGCAACAAAGTAGCAAAAGAGAGGGCATACCGAATAATCCGCGTCCGATTCTTGTGATTGGGATGACGAAGTTTCCTTGGAGGATTTCTAGTTTACTGACAACTAACCTTTTAACCTTTGTTATCCACTTAAATGTCAGGTTTCTTTCTTCATTGTTGTAAATGCTATTGTGTATTGAATTGGGAAAAAGGAGATGAGGTGTGTGTGCGTTTACTTGGCATTCAAAACTCATGACGTTTCATGCCAGGTATTGAAGACTATTAGACCGGTCGAAGGCAAGCTGAAGTATTTGAAGATGCATGGCTACCCTATGTGAATTGGGAACTAGTTATGTAAACACGTTTTAAGTTTGTAAGTGATAGATCCTATGTTGTATTTAGGGCATGATTTTGTAATTATTTTATATCTATACATATCTTTTATATTACCTATTTATTATTAGTATTATTTTGTCGACTTATATAGACCTTGTGTTAATATCTTATTAAGATCTGTCAAAAAAGTAGCTTTGCTATCTAAGGTGGTTAGACTTTGAAGGGAGGCTATATTGATTCCTCCAACCTTCATGGGATCTTACTTGGTTATTAACCAAATGACTCATTAGTGACGTTTCCTATTTTGTAATCTTAGATAAACCCTGTATTTATTTGTTAATATATTATCTAATGTTCCTAATTTCTAGGGTGTCATAGGAGACGTATATTTCTCCGACTCTATACATAACAATCACACAACCTATCTATTTATAGACTCCAACCCGTGTATAATTTGTGTGCTATAGTGTTTCTTCATCCTTAAGTTTTCGACCATGGCAACCTCATAGAAGTTGCCTCTTCTCTTCTATATCATTCTGAATACCTCTTCTTCATTCTGGAACTCTCCAGCAACTTCATCTCTTTTCTAGAAATCACTATTAAACTTAAATTGAGTTTGATTTCTAACATCACCCCTTAAACTCAATTTGCTAAAAGCATCATCGTATGCCAATTACAACATCTCTTCTCTATTCTCTACAAAGTTTACTTGATCTCTATGCACTCATGATAGTAGTGCCCATACCCTCTACAGTTGTAGCATTGCACCTCCTCTGTGCACTCACTTTTGTAGTGGCCATACTCATTGCAATTATAGCAACATACATGTCCTCTGTCAGGACCTTTTCCTCGTGGAACAACCCTCTGTTGTCCTCTCTTGTCACTTCTCCATTGACTTCTTCCTCTCAAAGCAACCATCTGTTGTTCGGAGCTGTCAACCATTTTTTGACTTCTGTCCCCCCTCTTGGGACCATGCCTCCCTCGTTCATGACCTCTTCCACCACCGCTCTGCGGTGTTCTCCATTGCTTTTGTTCGTTTATCCTGAATGTCACACTCGCTTAAAGAGCTTGGTCTAGAGAACTTACGTAAATCTTCTTGTTTGTCCTTTGCTCATGGATTTCCAATGTTGCTTGTAACTCTTTAACTGTCAAGTCATTGAAATCTTTCGATTCTTCTATGGCAACGATGACATGCTCAAACTTCAAACTTAGGGATCGAAGTATCTTCTCAATTATTCGAATGTCTTCCTTCTTATCTCCATATCATCTAATTTGATTTACTGTGGTTAGAGTCTACACAAAATACTCTGAAATTGACACGTTATCCTCCATTTGCAATAGTTCGAACTCCCCCCTTAATACTTGGAGTCGAATCCTCTTGGTCTTTTTAATTCCTCAATGTGAATGTTGAAGAATATTCCACGTTTCTTTGGAAGTAGTTGCAGTTGAGATCTTCTGAAAGCCTAACTCGTCAATTCCTTGATAAATTAGGTACAAGGCTTTCTGATCTTTCTTTCTTGAGTCTTTCAATACGGCTTTTTGTGTCTCGCTTAGCCTTTCTTCATCTTCTGGGCTTCCTGGCTCTTTATATCCTTGATCTACTAAGTCCTACATATCTTGTGAGATTAGCAATACTCTCATCTGAATGCTCCAATTCTCATAATTCTCCTTGGTGAGCTTTGGAATAATATTTGGCAAACTCAAACTTGCCATAATAAATTTGCAAATTTTTGATATAGAATTTGCATAATATGACCATACAAATGTATCCGAAATGCTCCAAATAGCTGGAAACCACTATTGGATCGCTGTGATTGGGATCCGAATGGATTAGATTGAGCTAAAATAAATCTAACGGTTCAGATCTGCGCAAAGTTATGCCACGAAGCACCAGATAAAAGCTTCTGAACTCAAGTCACGTGTCTTCTTCCCTGGGAAACCGTGTGGGTGTGTGCAAGCGCGTGAGAGCGTATGGAAATGACGTATACTAGTGCGTGGGGCGCGTGAGATCTGCTCCGGTGTCTATTTTTTACGCGATTTTTTCTTGTGTGCTTGTCTCAATGAGACCTACATACTGGTATGATCAAAAGTTAATTTCAACAACTTTGATTTCTAAGCAATTTTGAAAATCGCTCTCTTCTGCCTCTGTTTTTGTAGAAATTCGACCTTCCAGGCTCTTATGGCTCTAATACCATTGTTGAAAGTAGGAGAAGAGTGTATATTGGTTGTGATGGTATAGAAAGAGAGGAAAACAATTTGAATAAACACTTTTTTTTTTTCAAATAATCTCAAACAAATTACAAACTCTCGAAGTCTCTCAGAATTCTTCCTAATTGGAAATGTATTTTTCTCTTACTCTATACAAAATAATCACACAAACTATCTAATTCAAGTTCTTATAGAGAGAGAGAAAGAGATAGATAGAGAGAGAAGATAAAGTGTATTTGTGGAGAGAGAGAGAGAGAGAGAGAGAGAGAGAGAGAGGGGAGACGAGAAAGAGGAGGAAGAAAAAAAGAGAGGGTATGAGAACTTGAGATTTCGATACGCTACGTATCGGCCGATACGTATCGGAAAAATGGGGTACCGCGACGGATACAGGTCGATATACCACTGAGATTGAAAATCACAGGAGTATCGGCCGAGTCCCGGTACGTATCGGCCTGTAAGCGTTACACAAGCCGTTACACAAGCCGCGACGGGCCGATACTCACCGGTTCGGACCGGTACGGAAAAGAAAAAGTTGAAATACCTTTGAAATGATTTTTAAAATTTCACCACCGTGACACCCGATTCCCGATACGTACCGATCGATACTACCGATACCGATACTCCGCGATCGATACCGTTACGTTACCCGATACCGCGATTTAGATCCTTGCTCCCTTCATATTTTTATTCTCTTTGCTTTTTTGAAAAAAAAAGGCATTGCTCTTTGTGTGGATTCCATCGACTTCACCAACGATCTGCAGCAACACGACTCTATCAGCCTTCTCTCTCCATATAACTATTTCTCTCTCTCTCTCTCTCTCTCTCTCTCCCCTTTTGTTGCCTATGGTTAGCTTCTTTTCTTTTCTTTTTTTTAACTTGACTATTTCATTCATTGAAAATGCAGTGAAGACATACATTTGATTCAATTTGGGGCTCTGCTTGTTTCTCACTCTACAGTACACAAACGACACATTGTTTACAAGTAACATCCTCTCTTCTTGTCTTTCTCTCTCACATAAAAATTAGATATATTGATTTTATGGTTATTTGTTCTTAAAAATGATGTAGTCTGATTGGCTACAATTGGCGATTCTTATTTGTGATTATTTATTTATTCTAAAGTTATTGATTTTGATAAGCTGAACTTAGAGATTTTGATTTGTGGTGAATTTGTGCTAGAATTACGAATTTTGATTTACTAAAATTGGCAAGTTTGATTTGTCGTCATTTTTTATGGCATTGATAATACTATCATTGAGTCAATTGTTATAATTAACTTAAAAACCTTTGTAACGAATATTTAAGTATTTATACGTAAAAATTAACTCAAAATTTTAGAGGTTGAAATTAATGGGTGCCTCTAAATTAAATTTTTGACTCTGTCATTAAATTTTTGATGAAGAAAGCGACTAATCTCAACTCTGGGTTCATTTGGCAGTAGTTGGGTTGCATTATTTGGCAACCATATGGGATGATGATGGGTTATTATCAAAGTTGTTAATATCATATTGGATATTGTTTTTTTTTCATTAGTATGGTATCTATTGGTATCGGTAGGTTATTGGATACCGTTTTAAATTTATGGTAAAAATATTATATATGTATCAAAAATATTATTTAGTAACAAATAATTTAACAATACACAAATTTATATATAAAAGAGACTTAAAAGTATACTATGTTTATTAAATAATACAAATTAAGATATTTTAAAAAGAGTATGAAATATAAGTTTTTACAATTTTAATATAACAAACCACTACACACAAAAAAAAACAATATATATATATATATATATTGAATCTTTAACAATAAAACTGATAGAAATTCCAGTTTTAATTAAGTTGAAGGTTGTGACTTACTTTTTACTTAGCAGCCTCTCTTGAATTTAGCTAAAGCCAGGGAGTGTTAAACCTTACAAAATTATGTGGAACCCAATTTATGTTATGAAAAACCATACTATAAAATAAAAAACACACTTTGGGCTGTTCCCTAGGTTCAGGGCATTATCAGAAGTGTAATCCACTAATCTATAACAAGTTACATAAAATATTATAAATATTTAAGTTGACATCAAAATTGGGTAAATTATACTTTACCCAGTTAAGTTTTATACTTTCCCACTTTACTTAAAATATTTTTTTGTTCACTTTCCTCCATAACATTTGTAATTTTTTTTTCAAATTGCTCTTTGTAGGAGAGGGTTCAAGAAAGGAGTTGGAAAATTCGAAGATCTTCGAAGATCCTTGAAGAACAACTTCGAATTCTCTAGTAGATGATAAGAGGCTTAGATTTTTCAATGGTCTCAACTCATGAACACAAGAGTAAAGGAGATGATGGAGATAAGTGATTGGGTGAAGAAGAAGGCAAAGTAGCTAGAGAAAGAATAATGGCAAGACTCTCCCATGGATCTCCCACTTTCACTCTCAAGGTTGATAATGGAGAAGGGACATTAGTTCTTTCCCAAGAGTTAAAAATCTCCAAAATCTGTCCCTTGTAAAGCTATGGGTGAGTGCTATTTATAGGCACCTCATGATGTAGGATGGAGCCAATGTGCAAGGCACATGGGGGATATTCTCTCTAACCACCTTGTCCGAAGAGGTGACCTCTCCGAGGAGGTGACTTCTCCGAGGATGAGAAAACCCCGAAGAGGAGATCAACCTCTTGGCGAACCCTTCTTCTTAGCCACACCTAACCAATGATCCCCAATCATCCCAAAGGGTCAGGGGTAGTCCCAGAGGACGTCCTGCCGCAAAATATTGCCGAGTCTCATGGACCCCCCGGGGTCGTGCCACCTCGACCCAGGTATAGGCTAGTTTAACCGAAGAGTGAATTTGTCTCCACTCACCGTCCTTGGAATTGGGTCCTTTGTTCGAACTCCATTACGCCCATGGTTCTGGTGCGTAGATCCCGGAAAGCTCCGAGCCCGCAAGTGTTCTAGGACTCATTAACGGAGCGACTTCTAGATTGCGTCTGAATCCGTTCGAAGCCAAGTGCTTTGGATCTCTAGGTTCGTGGATCCGAACCCTTCGAGTCCGAGTGCCTCGGATCTCTAGGCTTGCTCAATACACTTTCGAGTCCGGGCCCGAGTAAGTCTCTAAGTTTCTAAGTTCGTGGATCCGAACCCCTTCGAGACTTAGAGCGATTCAGCCCGTTTGATGGCGATAAATCCGGGCCCGCCAGTCTTGGACTTGCGATAAATTTGGGCCCATCAACCTTGGATTATTTGGCCTAATTAATTTAGTGGGCTTAAACTTAACTCCTCTTAAACTAACTTTTGTCCAACGGAAAATGCACCTAACATAAAATGAATAAATTGTACTTTGGCCCTTAAAGCACTTTTTCTTATTTTGACCCTTAATATTTGTAATTTTTCCCAATTATTTCCAAAATCATTTTTTGTCCAATTTTAAGATCCAAAATCAAAACCCAAATTCAACCCCTCTCTCTCACTTTCACTTATTCAAATTTACCCCTAAACTTCCCTTTTTCCTTCACAAGCCCCTTCTAACCCAACCTCCACCTCTTTCTACCTCAATGGCTCCCCTCTGCCCCTTTCATTGTCCCCCCCCCTATCTTCTTGACCATTGACAATTAGTAACTTTTTTTGTCATGATTTTTATTAATTGTTGAAAAAATTTACAATTAGTAACGTTTTTTTTATGACAAATTTTTTCTACAGGACCCATTAAATAATAAGTCCACTTATTAAGACCTACACGTAAGTTTCCTATTATTTTTATCAAACATGATTCTAATTATGCAACATGGCCACAAACGTGACATTTTTCTATTGAAAATTGGATGGAGTACATCTTATCTCTTGTCTCGTAGTGGACTACATCTTATCTCTCATAATTTTTTAATTTTGGCATATTTATATTTATTAGAGAAGAAAATTATCTCAATTAATCTCCTCAAAAATCCCCTTAATAGGTGAAAAAAGATATGGATGGAATGCAAATAGCCCTTCCTGTACTTGGAATTGTAGCAGCAGCAGCTGTTACCTTCTATGCTGTCAGCTTTGCTGAGATTCGAGAGGTCGGTTTCTACTCTCTCTCTCTCTCTCTCTCTTTCTCTCTCTCTAGAAATATATAATAAGGGTGCAACACTTGTCTGATTGATTAATTGTTTGGCTGATTAATTGTTTGGCATAACTGTATAATACAAATTTTGTTACTACTTCAAAATGTGCAGAAAACTTTCAGAGATTTAGATGAATCAGAAGAATCTGAGAATGGAGGAGGATTCAAGTCATCTCTTAGCTCAAGAGAAAGGCGTGCCAATGAAATCAACGGTTCAAGTTTTTTTTATTAAAATAAATAAATAAATAAATAATCTAAGTGCAGGCGAGTTCTTGCGAGTGCGGGTTAAACCCGCAACCCACCCGCAACTCGCAATTATGCCATATTTCAAACCGCATCCACCTGTATTGTGTTTGTGAGACCGTCCATTTGTATGCGGATCGGTTCAGGTTGGATGGGTTGGATGGCTCAGATAACCCTATGCTCAGTCCTAATCATAACATAATTAGACACAATTTCAGTGCAATTTAAATGAAAATAACTTATTTACATGATTTCAATTATATTTTTTCTTTTAAATTTTAAAAATATTGTATTTAATTTTTAAAATAATTTTTTAATTAATTATTTAAAACCATACATAGCACAGATTTTATGGTAGTTTATTTTTATTGCAAAAGCAACATTTACCAACTGTAAAGAGAAAAAATAACATAATTAGTGACAAAGCGCCATCCTTCCGTGACGCGAGGTACCATCTAATAACCTATGTTTTTTTAGGTGGACTTCTTTCAATTCATAATCTGGATTAGTAGACACTGTTCAAATTTTTAGGGTTTATTAAGGTCTTTTTTTTTAATAATTTAAATTCTTCATTTTGTCTGGTACTATACTTCATATATATTATTTATAAAAAAATATTAGATTGATCTAATAATCGTAAACTATTCAATTTATCGCATTTGTTATTAAATAAATAAAAAATTGAATGACAATTGTGTTTTTTCAAGTAGACCATTTTTTTTTTTAGCATTGCTATTAAAAACCAAAAATTAGACTCACTTTTTAGACCAATGATGTGACATTCAATTAGGATATTAAAGGTAATATTTTCTCTTGTATCTTCTCTAATCATCAATCAATCATATCATTTATACATCATTAGGTTTAGAAAATAGGTCTAAAAAGTGGATTTATATATCAATTTTTTTTTTTTTGACAAACGCGATAAATGAAATAGGCTATGATTGTTAGATTGACTTAATTTTTTGTGTGAATGATATATATAAAGTTGAAAGAAAAATAAACAATGGCAAAGTTTGATAATCCCGTGAGGGTGTTTATCACGTAAGAAGAATATACAATCAAGAAGAGTTGGGGAAGAGTACTACATATATTGAGAGTTAAAGGTATAATGAGAAGTGAGTTGGATCGGGGGGGCTGGAACCCAGTCATTCGAAGGAGAAGCGTGGGCAATCATAGTGGTCAGTCAAGGGAAGGAGTTCTGATCACAGTTTTCGTGGATAACATCCCTGAATCAATGGATCCTCCAGGCTTGTTCTATCTTTTTCGGAAGTTTGGTCTAGTTAAAGATGTGTTCATCCCGGGGAAGAGGAGGAAAGCAACAAATTCCAGGTTTGGGTTCGTTAGATACGACTGTGAGGTAGCTGCACGGGTGGCGATTCAAAAGGCAGATGGATTGTGGTGTGGAAACAAGGCACTGAGGGTCAAGTGTGCTGAGTATCAAAAACCACCGTCAGTGGGGCAACAGAAGTCTAAGGGGCAGAGCAGAGAAGATGAAGGTCGTATAGTGAATCGGTGGGTGCAATCAAAGCAGTGGAAAGGAAAGGGAGTCCAGAAATCCTATGCAGAGGCAGTACTAAGTGATGAAGTAAGGGATAAGGATAGGGTGGTGTTAAAAGTCTTCGAGGAAGGGAATGGGTGGGGGAGTGAAAGTCTACTAGTTCAGTTGAACAGTTTCTTAGCATTCGAGGCATTTCAAGAGGAAATGAGATGCTGAGGTATGAAAGATGTAATTGCTAGAGAGGGGGGAGGTAAATTAGTTCTGGTAACTTTTCCCACAGAACAGCAAAAGCAGGAAGGCATGAAAGAGTTGCAGAGGTGGGGAAAGTAGTGGTGCGAATCAATCACTGAGTGGGACAAAGGCCAGTTCTTAGAGCAAGAGAGGTGTGTATGGCTGCATTGTTTTGGCATCCCCATTAACTTATGGAGTATCACGACAGTTCGAAGCATAGGTAGTAATTGGGGGTTGGTTGTTCAATATGAAGAGGACTTCAATAACCCTTTAACTTTTCAACAGACTAGAGTCAGAGTGATTACGAGATGTATGGAGTGGATCAACACAACAATTTTTTTGCAGCACAAAGGAAGTCATATCCCGATTAGAGTCTGTGAAGAGTTGCCTAAAAGCTTATTTCATAGTTCTTTCGAGAGCAGAGGTAAAGACCATGGTTGGATGCACTCCAACGGTGAAGATGAGGTAGACCAAGTGGATGGCAATGGTGGAACTTGCAAGAGTGCACAGGTAGCGTATGCGGGAAGGGAGGAGATGGTGAGTGAAGAGCTAGAAGCGGCTTCTCGGGTTGTGGAGACAGTGATGGGTAGCTCAGAGGTGAAGGGTAGGGATAATGATGGAGAGCACGCAAATGCAGGGGTTGCGGCAGGGAGGAGCGTAGAATGACCGTATAGGCGCATGTTCCAAGGTGAGAGGGATGGTGCAGGTAGTCAACTCCCACCCGGCAAGAACGAGTGGAGTTCAAAGTAGAGAAGATGACATATGCAGCACGGGCCTACTTAGGGAGCTGAGTGGGCCAGCAGAGGCAACACCCAGTATAAATTTAGAAGTTTTAATTGAAGGAGTGCAGAAAGAGGTTGAGCCCATTGGACTGATTCAGGAGTTGGGCTCGGATTTAAGTGAGAATATGGCCCAGCATTTAAGTAGACCAGATGAGGCCCAAACAAATAAACCAAATCAGAGAAAAAGGGTTCAACGGACTGCAACTGGGAGTCTTATATGGGATGGAGAAGCACAGAGGAGGGGAAAGTCTTGGAAAAAAGGCACGGATCGAAGGAGAGGTGTAATTGGTAGGCTGGGCTTTTAACGGGGAGCTATCCTCAGAGCTTCGGCGGAAGCAGCAGCTTCACTAATGGTTTCTAATTCCCAGTCCCAAGCAGCGAACAGAAGGAAGCAACTGGTTGAGGAGGCTTCGGCAACAGTGAGAGTAGGCACCGAGCTGGGTATGGACTACCAAGGCAAAGAGGAAGAGGTTGTGGGCAGAATTGTGGAGCTGGAAGAGAAGGATAGGAGCAGAATTGGAGGAGGAGGCAGGGAAACCGAAGTTTAGAGGGCTGTCTGGAGGAGATTGGGAATCAATAGCGTGTTTAAATGAAGATATTATCTTGGAATGTGCGAGGTTTGGGAAGACCAGAAAAGAGGGGAAAGATAAAGAGATTGGTAAGGGAGAGAGGGGTTGATATGCTATTTCTCCAGGAGACTAAGAGAAGAATTATGGAGGATCATTTTGTGAAATCAATTGGGCCCTATGAAGAAATGGAATATATAGTGGTGGATTCTGTGGGAAGTGCTGGAGGTCTACTGTCTATATGGAGGCCACAAATCTTTGAGCTTAAGAGTTGTTGCAGTGGTAAAAACTTCATCATTTTATCAGGTACCTCTAGTCCTTCTTTTCAGTGTTCCCTTGTAAATATCTATGCTCCTAATGAGGTTCTTGGGAGGAGGCAGTTATGGAAATCTCTTGTGGGTATTCATCATCATTTTCCAAATCCGTGGTGTGTGGGAGGGGATTTTAATGAAATTAGATTTATGGGGGAAAGGAAGGGTTGCTTATCCAGAGATAGGGGGATGAAGGATTTTAATGAGCTTGTGGAAAAATTGGAACTAACTGATATGCCTCTGCTTGGGAGGCAGTATACTTGGTTTAATGCCATGGATGGGAACAGGTGGAGGAGGATCGATAGATTTTTGTTAGATGTGAAGTGGTTGGAAAAATTTTCATTTAAGCATTGGGGTCTCCCAACGTCTATCTCAGATCACTGCCCCATTTTGATACAGGAAGATGGCAGGGATTGGGGACCAAAGCCTTTTAAATTTATCAATGCCTGGTTATCTCACCCATCCTTCATATCAGAGGTAAAGAAGAGGTGGGAGAAAGCTCAAGTTCAAAGGTGGGCAGGGTTTAGAGTGATAAGAAAACTAAACCTGCTTAGGAGCCACTTAAGGATGTGGAACAAGGTTGTGTTTGGTAATATTGATACTCAGTTACAGAAGGCAGAGGAGGAGCTTCATGAATGGGATTTGAAGGCAGAGTCTAGATCCTCTAGAGGAAGTGGAACTGATGAGAAGAAGAGAAGTAAGAAGCCATGTGTGGCAGCTGGGTAGAAGCAAGGAGAGGCTATGGCACCAAAAGTCTAGGCAGATGTGGGCTCAGTCTGGTGATAAAAACACTAGGTACTTTCACATTATGGCTAGCAAAAGGCAGAGGAAGAATTTGCTTGACTCTGTTGTAGTGGAGGGTAGGAGAGTGGAGGATCCGGTTCAGGTCAAGCAGGAAGTGGTTAGGCATTTCAGTCAACTATTCTCTGAGGATTGGAAGCTAAGGCCAAAACTTCTTGGCCCTTTTGCTGTTATTAGCCCTGCGAATGTTGGTATTTTGGAAGTTGCTTTCTCAGAAGATGAGGTTTGGGAAGCTGTGCAGGCTTGCGGTGGGAACAAAGCCCCAGGCCCAGATGGTTTTAATCTTAATTTCATTAAAAGCTGCTGGTCAATCTTGAAAGGGGAGATCATTAGTATGGTGAATGAATTTCACCAAAATGGTAAGCTATCGAGAGGGGTTAATAGCACTTTCATAGTTCTTATACCTAAGAAGGTTAATCCCATAGGCTTGGGGGATTATAGACCTATCAGTTTGGTGAGCTCGGTCTATAAAATTTTGGCAAAAGTGCTCTCAAGGAGGCTTAAGAGAGTGTTGCCAGTAGTGATCAACGAGGTTCAATCCGCTTTTGTGTGTGGGAGGCAAATCCTAGATGGTGTGCTAATAGCTAATGAAGCTGTAGATGCTTGGAAAAGATCGAAGAAGAAAGGCATTATCCTAAAATTGGACTTTGAAAAAGCTTATGACTCACTCAATTGGGAGTTTCTGTGGTCGATGATGAATAATCTGGGTTTCGGAGAGAAATGGCTAGTTTGGATGAGGAGTTGCATTGCTACAGCCAGGGTTTCAGTGTTGGTTAATGGCTCTCCTACAGAGGAATTCCAGCCTCAGAAGGGGCTAAGGCAGGGCGACCCCCTATCACCTTTTTTGTTTATAATTGCAGCGGAAGCTCTTAACCTCTTACTAGCAAGGGCGGTAGAGAAGGGCTTGTTTAGAGGAGCCTCTGTGGGAGGTAATGATTTGCGTATTTCTCACCTCCAGTTTTCAGATGATACTATAGTGTTTTGTGAAGGTGATCACGAGGAGGTGCTTAATATTAAAAGGGTGTTGAGGTGTTTTGAAGTGTTGTCTGGATTAAAAATAAATTATCACAAAAGCGCTATATGCGGAGTGGGCTTCCAAGAAGATGAAATTTTGGGTTTAGCTCAAAGACTGAATTGCCAATTGAAGAACTTACCTTTCAACTTTTTAGGTTTGCCTCTAGGGGCTAACCCAAAGAGGAAGAGCACTTGGAACCCAATACTGGATAAGGTGAGCAAGAGGTTGTCCTCTTGGAAGAGTAAGCTGCTGTCTTTTGCTGGGCGTTTGACTTTAATTAAATCAGTCCTATCCAATTTGCCTACTTACTTTCTATCTATTTTCAATATGCCTAAGGGGGTTGCTAAGGCTTTAGCAAAAATTCAATCAAATTTCTTGTGGGGAGGAGCAAAGGATGGGAGGCGTGTACACTTGGTTAATTGGGGTGAGGTAACTAAGAATAAAAGTCAAGGGGGCTTGGGTGTGAGAGATTTGGGCGAGGTGAATGATTGTTGTTGTTAAAATGGTGGTGGAGATTTGGGTTAGAGGATAAAACCTTGTGGAAATCAGTTGTTTGCTCAAGGTATGAGCATTCCAGAGGGGATTGGGCACCAACTTTGTCCAACACAGATGGGGCGTCTACTGTGTGGAAGGATATTGTGCAGCTCAATTTAAATAACCAGTCTTTGGGTGAGTTTTATTCCCAGAACTTCAAGCTATCAGTGGGAAACGAGAGAAGGATCCAGTTTTGGTCGGATGCTTGGCTCAATGGTAGAAGTCTGAATGAGGAGTATCCTAGACTGTTCAGTCTATCCACTAAGAAGGATGGAACATTACAGCAAATTAGTGCCAAAAAGAAACTCGGGGTATGGCAGCTCCAGTTCAGAAGGAGATTGTTGGCATTGGAGGAAGATGAGCTGCAGAGGCTGACTGCATTCCTGGATTCATCTCCTGATCTTAGAATTGAATCTGAAGACTCTTGCTCTTGGCTTGCATCAACATCTAGTAAGTTCTCAACATCATCGATGTGGAGTTGGTGGGGTGCAAATAAAGGTCTTGAATTGAGAGTGCCAGCTGGGGTGTGGGTAAGCCTGGCACCTCCCAAGATGCAGTTCCTATGCTGGCTTGCTTGGAGAGGCCGCATTAAGACTTCTTTCTTCCTTCAGAGGATTGGGGTTCTCCCTCCCAATGCAGAGACCCAGTGTGTTTTTTGTCAATCTGTTGTGGAGTTGTTGGAGCATGTGCTGTTGTTTTGCCCACAGGTTTGGAAGTGCTGGGCAGCCATAGCTAGTTGGTGGGATCAGCATTGGGTCATCCCTGGTTTTGTTGAGGGTTTGCTCCAATGGTGGTCTGGGAGTAAAGCGAAGTCTTGGGTTCACAAAGCTTGGCAGGTTGTTCCAGCACTAGTGATGTGGTCTGTTTGGAAGTTAAGAAACGAGTGCAGATTTAAGGGGGTTACTCCAGATTTTGCAGGTCTAAGTGAGAGGTTGAAACTGCAGATTGCTCTGTGGGTGAAGTGGTCCTTTAGGCTCGATTACTCAGTCCATGACCTTGTCTCAAACCTACATCAGATCAGGCAGTGCGTCAATTAGCAGGCAAATCTGTAAGCAGATTCTGTGTAATGGTTGTCCGCTATTCTCTGAAGTGGGCCTTCCTGGGTGCAGCTCTATTAGCAGATTCAGGGTTGTTAGCTCTGTTTGTAGATAGTTTCATTTGGGGGCAGTTCCTCTGTAAGCAGACTCTGTGTTCATTGTTTCATTTAGCTGTTGCAGATTTCCTCCGTAGCAGATTTAGCTGGTCAGTTTCTTTTGGTTTTGTTCATTGTCTTTCCGTTGGTTTCTCACCAACGAGGAGGTTGGAGCTCCGTCTAGCTCCAAGCTCCTCTTTGTTGATGTATTACGTTTGTGTTCATCAATAAAGTTTCATTTTCCGATCAAAAAGAAAAAAAAGTTGACACTTCTCTTGAGTAATTGATATCCATATTTGAAATTCAATGGAAACTGTTCTCAAGACGCATAATAAGCTTGAATTTCTTCAGCCCTTTATGTGTTTGTGGAAAAATCTAAGTAGTTTGATCCATTTGAGGCCCCAAAGGTAGAAAATCATATTTGGTGAAAAAAAAAACCTCTTCTGAAATGGGGAAATAATGGTTCTGGAAAGGGGAATAGTAGTGCCATTTTGGAACTTGTTCCTGAAACCAAGAAGGTGGCTCTTGATTTCAAGCTTCGTACATATGTAAGGCTAAATAAAAAAATCGAAAAACTTATTTATCACATTTGTAGTATACAATTACAAAACTCTCTCTCTCTCTCTCTCTCTCTCTATATATATATATATATATAAATCTGATAGCTTTTACCAAGATAACCATATTGAACAATGGTTGCTTAACAATACTCTTGTTTATGACCATGAACACTTTAGTTGTGTAATTAAAGTTTAGATTTTATTTTTATTTTTGTTTTTAATGATGGCATGTTGTTTGTTGTTTGAAAAGTGATAAGAGGTTGCATTTTTTTTTTTTGGGGGGGAGAAATGTCAATGCTGACTAGTTGCTTAATGTTTGCAAATGACATAGTTTGCATGATGCTTAATGCATTTAACAATATTTTGAGCAAATTGTGAATGATGGCAAGTTATCGGATTGCTTCTCAATCATTCCATTTGATTTGATTTTGCGATTCTTATAATTTAGTTCCAAATTTTATGAAATTGTAGGTGCTGATTTGGTCTTTGATATTCTCTTTACGTGAACCTTACTCACCCTTATGTGAATGGCCCTTCAAAGGGCCTTCTGTTGGACTTAACTGTTATGGTTGTTATGAAAGTAGAAAGAGAGAGAAAAGAGAAACTGTATATTGAATTGAATAATGAAATACAAGAAACCTATATATATAGGCTGAAAAGAAATCTAGATAAGTATATAAAATGAGATAGAGATATATTAGAGATAAGTATAGAAAAGGAAATGAGATATATCTACAATACATATAGATAAGTATTAAATAATAATATATATCTAACCCCCCCCCCCCCCCCTCAAGCTCAAGATGGTAAGTCAGATATCAACTTGAGCTTGGAGAGGAGATCAGAGAAGCGTCTTGGAAGATAAGCTTTGGTGAAGAGGTCAGCAGGCTGATCTGCAGAGGTAACAAAGAGATGACGAACATGGCCACACTAGTAACATGATGTCCTATGAAGTGGCAATCAATCTCAATATACTTGGTGCGATCATGGAAGACATCGCTATATGCAATCTGAATAGCATTTTGATTGTCACATTAAAGATTGGTGGCAGCAGAATGAAAAACACCCATGTTAAAAAGAAGCTAACGAAGCCACATAAGCTCCTAAATAGTGTCAGCAAGAGCACGGAGTACTAGAATGAGCAACAAGGTTTTGCTTCTTGCTACGCTAGGAAATAAGAGAGTTACCCAAGAAGAAGCAGAACCCATTAATAGAACGACGGTCAGTAGGATCCCCTGCCCAATCGGCAGCAAAAAATGCATGTAGCTGTAGATCATAAAATAGAGTTCCTTTGAGATAGCGCAAAATGTGAACCACAGCATCATCGTATGGAGAACGAGGAGCAACCATAAACTAACTAACAATGTGAACAACATAAGTAATATCTAGACGAGTAGCCGTGAGATAGACAAGATTGCCAACTAGCTGACGATATAAAGTGGCATCAGATAATAGGGGATCGTCAAGGGGTGTAAGGTGAGTTTGGGGATCAACTAGAGTAGTTGCAGTCTTGTAATCGGTAAGGCTAGTATGAGCCAAAAGATCAGAAGTATACTTGGCCTGGTTAAGAAAATAAACAGAGGAATCTTGAGAAATTTCCAAGCCAAGGAAGTAGCTAAGTGTAGACACCCTACTTTTGACCGCTCTTAAGACTTGGACGGGACTGATGGTTTACATGGTAAAG